GTCTCTCACTCTTTCCAATCATATATTCTCGCAATATCGCGAATCTTATTGATTTTTGAAATAATTTTACTCAAATCACTTAGCTGAATTAATTGTGAATTATTCGTTTTGGAATCTGTGGTATGATCGTAGCGTAGGAGAAAGATTGATTGTAAGTGATTTAGCTTCGGCTTGTTTGATTACCTTTCTTACGTATATGACTGAATCAATTAGGTTTTGAATTTTCGAAAGGAGTATTACCTATAGAGGAATCATGCGTCGGTGCTTGTGAATATTCCACGAATGTCTTTGAGATCGTATTTTATTGTTATTGCAATCTGAGGCTAGAGGAATAGGAGATTTGGAGTTTGGTTTTGTAGCTGCTGTTTTTATATTTCTTTAGATGTTTTGTGCATTTGGTTTCATATACATACCGTGTTTACACACGATGGCGTGAAAATGCTCGATTCATTTTTTGCTGAAGTAAGAACTATGTATGGATGATTGAACTGAAGAAGTAAAATCGGAAGTCGCATTTGAGATGATGAAATAAGCCATACGTCAAAGTTTGTCAATGAGGAAGTTGCCCCAAGTAATAAGATGATTAATGGAAGTTATGACAACAGACAACAAGAAAGCGTTTAATCCACTAGGTGAAGTCTGCCACATGTTTCATTTAGCACCATGGAGCTCTATTAAAGCATTTTTAACTCTTTACTATTTCACCTCCAAAACATTGTTAACTTGTGTCTTATGAAATTTGTATTCCGGTGTCTTACTCTTATTCAACTCATATTTAGAAAATACTCCCACTCTTGATTAATGTATGACTACCATTAGTCAAAAGCATGCAGAGGTATGTCAAATACTAAGGTGAACACCCGAAAATTGACCTTTGGTGCAAACCTATTTCACGTGAAAATCTCATGTCCCAAATATGAGTAAAGATCAATAAAAGTTTAATCCTGTTGAGAATTCATTATTTTTGTCTACTGTTATTCCTTTCAATTGTGATGAGCTGGAGATGGTTGCATTATGACTTTTTGACCTTAGATTCCTGTTGCTTTGACAGATGAAAAAGGGAAGTTTGATGAGTTGATTGAGGATAAGGGTGTTAAGATATTGATTGATCCAAAGGCCCTTATGCATGTCATTGGAACTAAAATGGATTTTGTAGATGACAAACTGAGGTAAATGTTTTCTTTAACACATTTCTTCATGTTCAACTTGTATTTTTCGTTTGTTTTGCCTTTTCTGTTTACTTTATTGTATTGTGTTTTGGGAATGGGATGAAAAAGCTCTCTATAAACAATTATTATATATAGGTTGGGAAATAGATATCCTAAGATTATTATCTGAAAATTGTTCCACGCACATCAAATTTAGTTATTATTTGTCTCCCCCCATGAATCTTAATAACTTAGTCCTACCCTGTTGGTTGCATTTGCATGGGAAATTCATGCCACTGGTATCAATATCATACTGTAATTTTTGCTATCTTCCACACTGGTAATACCTCCAATGCTTTTATGCTTGCCTATATTAATTTTTTTTAATAATCTATGCATGATGACTTTGTTACTCCTGTGAATTGGATTTGGAACAGTTGTGTCAATATGCTGGCTGTAACACCAATAATATTTTAATAACAAGTCTCATTTAAAGTTAATAATATTATGTCTAATCTGGCTATTAAATTTGGACTTATAAGGACATAATACACTTGAATGAATCTAGATAAGAAGTTAATAATATCCATCTGAATGAAGGGACTGTTAGGTAGTGTCATGTGTTGAGAGAGGTTAATCAAGCAGCTGATTTACTGGTCACCCATGACCTTAGTTTATTTTCTGAGTTTCATGTTTTTCATTTTGCTCCTGATTTTATTTGTAATTCTCTAAGGGCAGACCTTAGTGGTATCTGTTTTAAAAGAGGTTTTTAGGTTTCAATAATATTTTAATTCACCAAAAAAAAAAATGATAAGAAGTTTGAGCTTGTTTTTTTGGTTACATCTAATTGGACACATTTGGATGTATTTGTATTCTAATTGATCTTAATGATGAAACATAAAGAATAATTAAGCACGATAGTCCTCCTTATTTGGTCATAGTGGCATCTACTTCATGCTTCATTTGACGGTGAAACATACAAATGAACTTTTAATTAAGCACAATAGTCCTATAATCCTAATCCTTAGAGTTCTTGAAAATTACATTCCAGCACCCACCCCCCCTCCTCACAAACCCACAAAAAAAAAACAGTAGTGCTGTGTGCTATTACAGAATATAATGCTTTCTAATTTGATTTTATGCAATCATGCTGGCCTGTGATGTAATAAATCAAATAAAAATGAGGTTTTTCACCGTTATTTGAGATTACCTAAGAAATCTGTACCTTGGAGGATTATTAGCCAATTCATTAAATTCTTGATACAAGGAGAGGTGTCAACGTGAGTTGTGGTCCGCGAATCAACTTGGCTCATTGGCAGATTGAGTTAGTAAAAGATGGGTAATTTTTTTCTGAGTTAAAACGACCCAACTCACTTCACTAGCAAGGTCAAAGTGGTTTTGAGCCAGGTTGACTCACTCGACCTGTTTTTTATTTATTTATTTTTTTTTATGGCAGATTGGGTTAGTAAAAGATGGGTGATTTTTTTCCTCAGTTAAAACGACCCAGCTCACTTCACTATCAAGGTCAAAGTGGTTTTGAGCCGGGTTGACTCACTCAACCCTTTTTTTTTTTGTGTCCCAGCTCACTTCACTAGCAAGGTCAAAGTGGTTTTGAGCCGGGTTGACTCACTCAATCTGTAATACAGGGCCTGTCATGAAGAAGTCTGTTCATTTCATAAATTGAGACACTCCAAATCATCAATTTACAGATTTCTTGAATAGACACAAAATTAGTCATGCAGGAATTGTGGCTCATAAAAACTAATATATTAAATGCTCCTGACAAGTATACCATTGATTCAACACTCTTGACAAGTATACCATAGATTCAACACATGTTGCATCATATGAGATATGCCCATTACAAAACTTTCTTCTCATACAAAATTAGCCCATATTGAGTATAAAATCATGCTATTCTGTCCTTATTGCACACATAACATACAAGTCCAGCATTCAATTATTCTCAATTGATTAACTCTTGCAATTTGCTAGGAAGCCTACTTTCTTCTACCGATACCTGAAAGCTCCATAGCCAGCTCTAATCCCTTTCCTTCAATTAGCAAGTATCTTGTAATCCTTACTTCATTAGGGACATGCAAGAGGATTTATTACTCTCAAATTTCTTAGTTCTCTTTCAAGGTGCTGCATGAAGAAGGAGAAAAATGAATTAATTTTCTCAATAACCAGTGACTTGGTGGGTGAAAATGAGGGAGAATGTCTCTCTTGGTCAATAAGGAGAAGAATTGGTGCTTTCCTCATCCTTTCCCAGTTACATTTTTTTTTTCACCTTAAAATCCCTTTCAATCTTAAATAACTTCTAATAATCACCATTTACCTAGGTAATGTGGATATCTATTATTTCCCGAGAACATACAACTTTGATCTATTAGGATTTAGGAATAGTTCCTTGTCATAAATTTTTTAACTTGTACCCATACTCCTACTTTCCATTTAACTATCTTGGGATTAATCCTCTAATTAATCACATTACTATCTAATTTTATTCCGTCCCTCCTTTCTAAAATCGTCTATTAACATGATTAAGCATATTCATCTGATTGATATTTATACAAATATGGGCAGAAGATTTGTGCGGGGGAGTAGGCTGTGCGTATGAAAGGAGATATGCAAGAGAGGAATTTTAGGAAACAGGAAGTGCTCTTCCCTCACTATGGGGAAGATGCAATAGGAAAAGTTTGTTAGAAGTCAGTGGAATGTCTGAAACAACAAGGATAGCTGTCACATGTTTAGTGGAGAAGGGAATTGTGGTACTACTGTACGTGTATGGGGAGAAAGGGGTGGGGAAAGGAACAGAGGTAGGTAGGCAAAAATTTAGTATGGCAGAAAGTTTCAAAAGGGGTGGGATATTCTTTAATCTGTATGACTACAGATTACAGAATTTCCTTGTTATGTTTTTTTCTTTTCATGCATTTTCTTTGTGATTCTCACAGATACCTCTGCACTTATGGAACTTGGTCTCTATAATTTCCATTCTAATTCAGTTTGGTTTCATAGAAGAATTTCCATTGTTATGTTCTTTCTTTTTGAGTATATTCTTTGTGATTTCAGTTTCTGTAGAGGGCTATCTCTGCTTGTAATCCTTTATTTCTACTCTAATTCCTAGTCCCTTTTCTTAATTTAATCCTTTCTTTGAACATTTTTTCCTTTTGGTAAATTGAATCTACACACGATGTCATTATTACAATATATAAATAAATACCGAAGATCCATAGAATTGGAGCACATGCATATAAATATATTAAGCTTCGGAACATATTACTTTGAATAAGCTCTCTTCATTGGAATGTTACCAACTTAAAGCTTCCATTTAGGAATTGCGTATTTGGGTATTGATCTGGTTGTGACAGAAAATATATACCACCCCCTCACCCTGAATTAATTTGTGCTTTTGGAGCAGTCAATTATTTTCCAAATCCCAAATGTCTTGTCAGGATGAGCATATGACTAATTGACTATACGTAATTATCCATCAGGAAGCTTTTGATGAAATGTGGTAGGATTGTGTTGCATGTTATACTTCGATTTGGGGATGATTAGTGATTTTTCCTGTCTCAAATATATCATATATGTGGGTAAAATGTCTGCATAACTGAGAGAAGATTTTGATGAAATGGCATGGAAATTACTGTACAATAATTGTGTTGTGGTCGTTTCTGTTACATGGTTCAACTGTTTTCTTTCTTTTTTTCTAATGTGAGCTACTATTTTTTTCTTCTTCCGTCAGATCGGAATTTATCTTTGTGAATCCAAATTCTAAAGGTCAGTGTGGTTGTGGTGAATCTTTCATGACAACAGCCAGTAGTGGATCTTCTAAGCCATGAGATGGTTAAAATTGCTATTCAACTTGCTGTGAATCTTCGTCACTTATGAAGTCGTCCTTTCATGATTTAATTGATAGACATACAAGTACAACTAATGGATTTCCACAATTCTGCCTCCGAGAACAACGAAATGAGAGCTTTTGGTGCTCAGAACAAAAGGATACTGAGTACTGACATGTCTCAATCTACAGAGTTTTCGGAAGCTGATGCTAATAAGGGCTTATTTCAATAATTTGTATTATCATTTGTTCTGATGATTCTTATTTCTTATGTAAAATTCTTTCTATCATGAAAATTGTAGTTTGTAGGTTAACAACATCATTAAAATAATTACCTTAAGTTTAACATATCATTCAGCGCATTCAGAGCTGAAGAAAATTTTCTCTTAAATTTCCTTGGTCAATTTGAAGATTTATTACGAATGATCACTTATGTTAAAGGACATTGTAGTCTTTAGCATTGCTGGAGGAAAGATGTGCCCCGTCTAACCTCCAACAAGCTGGGAGCTGGGGAAGCTACAACAGCTGCATGAAGTTCTTGTATTTCACATTTATGGTATGTTTAGTTTAAAAAGGAAAGGTGAAAGGAGAGAAAGAAAAAGGGGAAAAAAGAGAGTGGAAAATGAGATGATTTATGAAAGTTTTTTTTTTTTGGTTGTAGAAATGAAAGGAGATTGTAATTTTTTCTTAATAGAATAAGAAGGTGAAAGAAAGGAAAATATATGTATATAAAATAATATAATTGTTTTAATGAAAAAGTAAAATTATTAATAAGGGTAATGTAACTTTTTAAATATAAGAAACACTTTTTCTTTCTGTTAAAAAATAAAATAATTTTCTTATTTTCTTTTTAACTTGGAGAGAAACAAAAAATTATGGGTTCCACATGAATTTTTTTTTCTTTCCTCTCATGAAGTATATTTTTATTCTTTTTCATTCCTTTTTTTTTCCTTTTCCAAAAATAGTGTTAAAAGGAATAACGACCTGTAAATAATGGCACAAGATGTTTTATGAAATGAAAATCTTAATCGTATTGGATGCTTTATGAATGAAAAGCATTATTCCTACATATTTGTCGGACAATATGTTTTATGATTTTGTTTTACAGGATTGTTTACATGTATTTGTTTTACAAATTGTTTTGACTACAGAGATAAAAAAAAAAAGTGTGGTTAGAATAAAATGTTTTTTTAGAAAATAACTAAATATTTAAAGGTTCACAATATTTCAAGTAATGATTTAATTATGTATGAACTTAGGATATTTGGCTTCATTATTGGGTTATTAAGATATTAGTTAATTCTTTTGTAATTTGTTTTTTTTTATTAATTGTTAATTACTTGCTTTGAAATTTTTAATACTCATTGGTTATTTAATAATAACATTATCTTTTCCAGTCTAAATTCTAAAACCCAAATGGTCACGAAAGGCAAGCAATTAACAAAATCTAAAGAATTAATGATTTTTAAGTTGATAAACGACTAAAAATAAGAGTTTGAGTTCTTTTCTATAGAATAACAATGACAAAAGTTAAATTAAAATTTTATACGCACTATTTCAATCTATTACTACCAAGTAACTTTAGTGATTGAATAAAGAATTTGAGCTTGATCTTTTGCAACTCCAATTGTGGCTCACTTTATAGATCTTAAAAGTTGAAGGTGATATATATTAGGAGTGAGCAAAATCAAATCAATTCAAATAAAAAACTATAAATTGATTAAAAAAAATTCAAAATCAGTAAAAAATTGTAAATTAGTTATTTGACTTGATTTAAATTTTTTTAAATTGTGTAATTTAATTCAATTTTCAGATTAAAATGTAAAATTACTTCAAATCAAATTAAACCACACTTATATATATATATATA